CCTCATGTTTGTCAGAACTTATTAAAGTTACAAGTTGGCGGTAGATATGTTCCTGCCGCCGCCGGGAGCGAGGGTGTGTTGTGAATGGCTGTAGGGGATGAATCCCCTTGATCTAAGAGTCCGGATGCTTAGGTAGCTTCAGTAGCAAGACATCAGAGTCATCTCGTTATTCCACTCGGGCCGGGCGTCTGGAGCGTCGAGAAATCCTGCAGCGTCGGCCTGGCTCCAAAGAGCGGGTGACACTTCAGACCCCGCGGAGAGCTTTAAGTTTAGCCGGGTCAGAGGGAAAGCGGAATGAAACGTGAGTGTTCACTCCCTGTCGCTGGAAACATGGCCGCGCGCACTTTTGATGGTGTATTACGTAGTCCACGGTAAAGCCGATCTCTTTGCCCGTCTGAGCCCTTCAAACATACGAGGGAGACTCTGGCTGCCTTCAATGATGTGGTCCCCGGTCCTGGTAACGTTAGTAACTTGCAGATCACGGTGTGGATCCTGTGTTGCGGCTCTGGACCTATATTTATGGAGCAATGCATCATCCTCCATCTTCCACCGGAAAGAGGCAGGGAATAAGATAAAGCTCCGCCTAACTGTACGTCCTCTGATGTTACACTGCCGGTGGAATTCCAACCGTGTAAAAACTCCACTGCGGGCGAACCTCAACTGAAAGATATCCGGTCGGAATGGTCGAAGCGTTCATGTGTCCGACGTTGGAGCAGACGGGGGGGGATTCTCCTTTTTTTCCTCAATTCCCAGTGATTTCGCCAGTCTTTATGTGCTGAGTCACTTTGTTCAGCCGACGAAACTTTCTTTCTCCTTCCACTCATTCGTGAAGCAGGGGGGAGGGTCACCGGTTTATGAAACGTTCAACGTGACTCGAATTGTGGATTTCGAAGATTGGTGTAGAAAGGGGGAACAAACGTAATACTTCCTCTCCGTGCTTTAGGGAAAGCAGATAATATAACTTTATTTCTATAGCCCACTCTTAGCATGTTACAAAAGTGCTGTAGGAAAATAAACCAAACAACCAAGATAAAAATGACCAATAAGTAACAATGAGCACTTTCAGCAATTAAACAATAGATTGATAGAAACAAATAAAAGGAATACAAACACTACAATATGAAAATATCAAATATTTCCAAAAGCTTTGCACAAAAATAAAACGTTTTAAAGACCACTGTGACCTGGAATAAACGCAGGGCTCACTGTGGTCCAAGGGTGGAGGGGCACATACAAGATAATAAATCAAAATGGTATTTGTGGAGAAGCAGTATCTGTTAAAATTGCCTAATCATCATCTTGTTTTGTACAAAAGAACGGTTGCATACTTATCGGGGGTAGATGTTGAAGCGTGAGTTTAGGGTTGTTCAGCGAATAGGGACAGTTAGCACGAAATATCAGTTGCCGTTTTTTCAACTGAATTTGTGTAGGAACCCCCCCCCACAACACACCACCACACACCTCCACAAGCAAACCTGAACTGGACGAATGATTTTTCTTCAACAAATGGTGCCGTGACCTGGGAGCAAATACTTCCAAGGAACTGTTTCTTCCAGACCAAGGACACCAACCAGTAAAATCAAGAATCCAGATTCAGAGGAGGGGTTCCTGTGTGTCAAGAGTCTGTAAGGCTGGATAACAAAGAAGTTGAGCGCCATCCAATTTTAAAGTTAAGTTACTGTGTTGTTATGCAGGATGAGTTCCCTGGGTTTCCTTTTTGGCAAATGCTTTAGAATGTCCGCAAATTTTATTGTATACCTCTTCCTTGGCCATAGAATTTGACCCTCTCCTTATGGCTTTTATAAAAAGATACAGGAAACATAAAGGCCATTTAATGAAAGAAAAGACCGATAGTTGATCCTTGAAAGACCAGTATATACTAGTCCAAAAGGGTCTAAAGAACTGTCCGGCAGTGTTGGGAACACTGTCCAAGTGGGTGACGTCGCAGTGTGGGGTACACTGCCAATTGTGGAACACTGTTTAAGAGAAATAGGGCTATGCAGGTCGGGTCGGGGTAAGAAAAGGCAGAGATATACTTGTTTTTGTAGGGATTGACTTGCTCTCCTTGCGCAAAGAAAGAATTTGTAACCTCTGAATGGAATGTTGATGGAAAAGAATTGGGAAACTGATTGTGGGCAAAGTAAGTGTAAAAGCCAGATATTATCTTTTTTTGTAGGATTTGAACTCGTTTCTTGCCACAAATGATTTGCATCTTCTGAGTAGAGTGTTTTTGGAGGGATGTCAATAGAAAAGAAATGGGAAGTTATTTCGAGTAGAGACAGGAGAAGGATTTACCGGGCCCGGTAAGTACATTTTAACGAGAGCTATGGTACCGATAGCATTAATATTTGTTGCAAAAAAAAACCCAAAACAGAGGGAAAATAAATGTTGAAAGAACAGTTATAACAAAGGAAAGTTATTGAAGTAACTAAAAGAATAGACTAAGAAAGTACGATTCTATCTTGCTTAAAAACTAAAAGAAACAGACAAAAAGTAAGATTCACCTTCTTAAAAAAAACAACACAACCAGATCAAACTTTCAATGTGCAACAACTAAGAACAAAGTAACAATGCAAGCTAAGAAACTGTAAGTTCTTCGGAAGCACCAAACAAACATGATAAAAGAATTTTGATCTATGTCTCACTGTTTCTGTATGTTGTGATTTTAATGTGTCTAAGTCGACTACTTTTGTGTGTATGTTTTTTTCCTTCCATGGTCCAATGTCTTTCCAAAGAACACACTCTAATGGTTAAATGGTAAAATTTGAGGCACAAGCTAAAAGCAATGGTCTGTGAATCTAAATGTTAATTTGGTTTTCTGAGTATCTCACTTACACAGGGCAAGAGGCAAGGAGGAAGAAAATGCAGAGGAAGTTAAACAGTGTTTGGGAGCTAAAGGTCATTTCACACCTTGGACAAGCCATTCCTCCTGGAAGGCATTGGGATTTCTCCATCGTGGTAGCCAAAACCATTTGGGTAAGACATTGCTAACTTGAGCAACTAAATTAAATCAACCTTGTCTATGGCACCTCCAGCAGAAAAGCCAACATATCAGTCTCTACTAACTAGAATATTACATGCAAGACAATCAAACTTAAATGTTCAGATTCTGAGGGGAACCCAGAAGCAGATCGGAACAAGAGTTTGAGTGTTAACAGTTTTATTGACAAAAGAGTGAATTTGTGAAAAAAGGGGAGCTGGCAGCGAGAGTGGGAGGTCCAGAGGTGGGGTAATCCAGGAGAGTGTCGGCTGGGCGGCTTGGAGGGTGGGGATCCACACACCGGCCTACAGGAGGCGTAGGCTGAGTTGGACTTGGACTGATTCCTGAGCAAAGAGACACGTTTGTAAGAGGACAAAACAAGACGGCAAAGGCAGATCGGCTCATGCAGCAGAAACAGCGTGGCTAAAAGGTTGCAAATTTAAAAACACAACAAGCACCACACACAAACCATAGACA